AGCGTCCGACTTCAGCTCAGGTCATGATCTTGCAGTCCGTGAGTTCGAGCCCCGCGTCGGGCTCTGGGCTGATGGCTCAGAGCCTGGAGCCTGTTTCGGATTCTGTGTCTCCCTCTCTCTCTCTGCCCCTCCCCCGTTCATGCTCTGTCTCTGTCTCAAAAATAAATAAACGTTAAAAAAAATTAAAAAAAAAAAATTTAAGCTATTTTCCTGTAGTACTTTTAAGATATTATTTTCATATCACCTTTCATTTTATTGTTGCTGATGAGAAATATGCTGTCAGTTTAGCTGAGACTCCTTTGTAGTCAATGTGTTTTCTTTCTAATAGCTTGTAAGATGATTTATCCCCAATTTTCTGTAGTTTCACCCACTACATTGTAGTGCTTTCCAACTAAGGACTTAGGTCTTTTTAAATTTTGATAAATTCTCCACTATTACTGTGTCAATTATTGCTTATCTGTGATTTCTTCCAGTCTTTTTTTCTGGGACTCCTAACAGACTTATGTTGGAGTTTCTTAATCAAACTGTTCTAACAACAGCTCTCTGAGCATTTTTACCCTTTATCTTACCCTTGGGAAATGTTTTATGTAAACTCCTCAATACTAATTTCTGATTTCAGATTTTATTTCTCTGATTGTGAATTTGGGGACTTTTTTTCCCTATGGAATATTGCAAGTGTATCTGTAATTGAACCAGCACGTGAATGATTTGGTTCTTGTCCCCCCCACCCCCACCCGATCCCAAGCTCATGGTTTCTTATAATCTGAAGCCTAGCATGCATATCAGCACAAGTTATTCTGTGGCCTTTTCATTTTATACAGTCAAAAGCAGCAAGGTTGCTTCGGTTCAGCCCTGACTCAGCTCACTGAAGCACTGAGGCCTTCACGCATCAGCAGGGATGATGGTCTCTGGCTATTTCATGCCAAAGGCCCAGCAGATCCACACTTCATCACTTTGTTTTCTGCTCCATTTCTGCCTCAAAATATGTTTAATCTTGTTTTGGGGCCCACTGTATTACTATAATGCTTTCTTTCTATATATTGTATCTACCTTTTGCTACAAGTTTGGAGCAAAGTGGGTAAATTGTGAACCCCTTGCACTCTCTGGACTGCAAGTTTATCTCAGGTCTCAGTTCTGGTTTTTATTTGATACAGGAGGTGACTCAGATTTACAGGAACAGAAATTCGGCTCCCCGTACGTTGGAACTTTAGATACCCTTTATCTAGTAATCTCCAGAACTGGAACTGCTAAAATGAAAATCGTTTTATTGCCAGTTAGGCAAACAACATTAAAATCCTTTGAAATCTTTTAGTTATGATCCCTGAGTTCAATAAATTCACTTCGCGAGAGCTTGTCCTTCAAATTATTTGTAAATTTAAAAACTGAATTATCGCATTTAACTTTTGTTCACGTATTTATTTATGCTGCCACATTTATATTATCAAGCTCGTCACTTTTCTCTATCCGCCACCTGTAAAACCGAGGGAGAGAACAGCGGTAACGCTAGACAGGTATGTGGATGACAAGGAAGGGATCCTGTGCGTGGGCTCACAGGGCAGGTGAATGGAATACATAAATGCCCTGTCAGTTGGATGACTTGATTTAGTTGTGTGGGAAGGCAATAACTCCACGGTTTCCCACCCCAGGACTACGTGGGGA